TGATTTATTGTTTTGTTTAGTTTGGGGGACATCCAACTTTATTCTCTAGGTGTGCATAGTCAATTGTTCTGACACTATTTGTTTAAAGGACTACTGTTTCCCCAATTTAAATGTCTTCTTCTTTTTTTTTAATATTGAGGATTGAACCACAGGGAGTTTAACCACTGAGCTCCATCTCCAGTCCACTTTTTAAATTTTTTTAAAATTTTAAGACAGGGTCTCACTAAGTTGCTGAAGTTGGCCTCAAAGTTGTGATCCTCCGGTCCCAGCCTCCCGAGTTGCTGGGATTACAGGTGTGTGTCATAGCAGGTTTAAATTTCTTGATGCCTCTGTCAACCATATAAAAGTCTCTTTCTGGGCTCTCTARTCTGTTCCATTGATCTGTATGTCTGTCCTTATGCCAGTACCATACTCTCCTGATTATTATGGCTCTATACTAAGTTTTGAAATCGGGATGTGTGTTGAGTCCTCCTATTATTTCCTTTTTTTGAGGTTGTTTGGACTACTCCTAAATGTATACTCCTAAATGTATCAATTCAGCTTAACATGACTGCAGCCATCTTGGGTCATAATCATAATGATTGCCCCAGAGTAATCCTAGTCAGTTCTTCCTGAATAGTTTCCCAGCAAATTATGATACATAAAATCATTAGAGTCATATGCGGAACTTTACAACTAGACCCTGGCTCCAGGAATATGCCTCTTTGATATTGTCTTAAGATAAACTAGGTACATTCCAGCCAGGATAAAGTCACTTTTTTTTTTTCTTGGTGCCAGTGATTGAACCCAGGGCCTTGTGCATATGAGGCAAACATTCTACCAACTGAGCTATATCTCAAGCCCCAAAGTCACTTTTATCCTGTACTATAAGTATGTCCCTTTATCTGACCCAAATTGTGGGGATCCACATGGCCTTGTTGCTGCCTGGGACCATGCTTATGTTACTAAGTCCTCCAATAAATTGCACTCTATGTAATCCTAGATCTGTCTGTCTGCTTCTCTTTCTTCAGTCTCCTAGTGCCTTGGGGCCAGTCAGTCCTTATAAGCTAGGATGGAGTTATTCTGGAACATGTGAGTATCACTTATTATTTTTGTGATGCTGGGGATTGAATGAACCCAGGGTTTTGTGCATGCAAGGCAAGCATTTTACCAACTGAGCTACATCCTCAGCCCGTGAGTATCACTTTTGTAGGTATCACTATGATAGGGTCTAATCCTTGGTTTTGAAGTTTCATGACCTTGGTGGTGTCAGTTTTTCCCCAAAGTGAATATATACTGAAGCATTGGTTGATATTCCTCAAGCTTGCAGGAAAATTCCACAAATTTGCATTGTGGGATATTCTTTTGGTGACCTGAATCAAAATGCCTTGTCAGAAAACTCCACCCTTTAGGTTGGCAAATTAGTTGCTTAAAAAAAAACTTGCTAGGCCAGGCACCTTGGCTCATGCTTGTAATCCCAGCAGTTTGAGAGGCTGAGACAGGAGGATTGTCAGTTCAAAGCCAGCCTCAGCCATGGTGAGGTGCTAAGCAACTCAGTGAGACCCTGTCTCTAAATAAAATACAAAGTAGGGTTGGGGATGTGACTCAGTGGTTGAATACCCCTGAGTTCAATCCCCAGTACCAAAACAAACAAACAACAACAACAACAAAACATGCATAGGTCTGGAGATGTATGTCGCTCAATAGTAGAGAGCTTGCCTAGCATGTGCAAGATCCTGCGTTATCCCCAGTACTGCAAAAAGGAAAGAGAGAGAGAGAGAGAGAGAGAGAGAGAGAGAGAGAGAGAGAGGAAGGAAAGAAGGAAGGAAGTGAGGGAGGAAGAGAGGGAGGGAGAAGAAACAAACATGCTTGATAAACATGGAGTTGGAAACTCAGGCATAATGGTAAGAGTTGCAGGTTTTGGAGCCAGGCAGGTTGGTTTATTCCACCCTGCCCCCCCTCCATGTACTGAGGATTGAACCCACAGGTGCTCTACCATTGAGCCAAAAATCCCTGTCCTTTTTTATTTTGAGACAGGGTTTCACCAAATTGCTCAAGCAGGCCTCAAACTTTTGATCCTCCTTCCTTACCCTTCTGAGTAGCCAGGATTATAGGCATGTGACAGCACACTTAGTAGGGTCAGATAGTTATAAGTTTGAATACTATTTCTGTATAGCTAGGGCAAGATTTTGGACTGTGTTCTGTAAAATGGGGAACAATAATTCTTTTCTCATTGAGTGGTTGTGAAGATAAAAGGAAATAACAAATGTCATTTGTGGGGCTTTGGGACTAAATTTCAGTAAATGACACCTATTATAGGATGTTTTATTCAGGGCATGGTGAATCCTTTTGTTGTAGCACAGGCTTTCTGGTGACCCAAATTATTCTATCCACAGGTGTGAGACCTTTTTGCTTTGAAAGACATTGGGTAAAAATGTAGCCATTCTTAACTGGAGTTGGAAGAGGGGATTTGGAGAATGTGATTACCATTTGGCTTTTTACATTCTATTGCCTCACAGGAGTGGTAGGCCAGGGTTGGTAGATTTTTTTTTTAATTTAATTGAACCTAGTGCTAGGCAGGTGCTCTACCCTTGAGCTACCACTCCAGTCCCTGTTGCTAGATTTTGATATTGTTTTGTTTATTGTATTGTTGGTACTTCTTAACTTCAATTGTAGAGGGTAGTATGTACTGATCTAATTCCTAAACTTTGAGATTCTTCCTCCTGTATAACTTCTCCAGAGTCTACATATTCATAAAGTTCAAACACTCATAATATCACAAATGACATAATATCACATGTCACAAGAATGCATGTACTTTATCTACAGGAAAACCCTACCCAAAGATCTTTCTCAAAACCTCAGAGTCTAAATAATAAAAGTTTATCTGTGTCTAAATTTGTATGGCATACAAACATTTAAGAGAGAGAGAGAGAGAGAGAGAGAGAGAGAGAGAGAGAGAGAGAGAGAGAAGGAGAGGGAGGCGGAGGCTGTTTGGTGGGAGCACTGAAAAGTGTCAGCTCATTACTGAGGAAGAAGACACACAAAAAGACAGGAATTGAAAATAAAAGCAGCATTCTAAGCCATTTGTTATAGGAACAGATTCTACTTTTCCTGGTTGTAGTGGTACATGCCTGTAATTCCAGCAACTCAGGAGACTGAGGCAGGAGGACAGCAAGGCCATCCTGGGCAACTTAGTGAGATCCTCTTTCAAAATAAACCTTTTAAGAAGTGGGGGCTAGGGATGTGGCTCAGTGATAGAGCACCCTAGATTCAATCTCCAGTAAACCCTCCCCCCCCMAAAAAAAAACACTTTTGAGGACATAAGACACAATAATGTTAATAATTTTAATGACCTTAATCACCAAGTATAGGTAATTTCCAGAGCTGTATTTACGAAAACATATTTTCCATCCGATGGTGGGAGTAAGTTCTTTAAAGCAGTCAGTTTTTCATTTATATGGGCTATCTTAATCTTCTATGATGCTAGATAAATGAGGTGTTACTGGCCTTAAAATTGACTCAACAAGTTGAATTTGCAAACCAAAGCATTATTCAAATAAGAAGTAGTGTAGGGAGCTCCTTGATTAACTCTTCCTGTGCATCCTTATTCTGGAGGTTGTTATTAAGTATCTTGGAGGGGACTAAACTGTAATTCTTTTTCCTGGCAGGGTTTCCTCCCACCCTCTTCAGCATCTCAGCTAGAATTGTATTGATCTACTCTGGAGAGCCTTTATGAGCAAATATAAAGAATGAAAATACTGAGCAACTAGTACTGTGTATACAGCAGACACTCTAGCCAAGCAATAAGCAAGGACCCTGACCGCTCTTTTGTGGAGGCTGAAATTTAAGAGATTTCTATCAACTAGAAGGTGAATGTTATATATCACTCACATTGTATGTGAAAACAGTAAACAGTTCTGCTGGCAAGTGCTATTTTATTTCCTTTCATTTATCTATTGACGCTGAGGATCCAACACTGGGAAATGCTAGGCAAGTGCTCTACCACTGAGCCACACCCCAGCCCAAAAGCTTTCAATAAACAGGTAGGCTGTGTGAAGTTCAAACATTTAATTATTTTGTCTATCTCGGGTTTTAATATGGATTTTAAATTTTTAATTAGGTATAAGGTCAGCTCTAGGCCTGAAAGTAGAATTTTAGAGCTGGGAGGCTTTTAGAAAACTTGTCTGGCCTCTTCATTTTACAGAGGGAAAACCGAGGCCCTGGGACACGTTATGATTTAATGTAGGTCACCGGGTTAATTAGTGACAAAGACGGAACCCAAGTGCCCCAACACCTTCGTGAGTTTTCCAGTATGCCCCCTACTCCTAACCCAGTGTTGCCCTCCCATCCCCTTTTGATCTCCCGCCTCCTTCTTTCTTTCCCTTTCTTAACTGTGCAATTTGGAACGGGAGCCTGAACCTTGGGCAGACCAGGTTTCAGCCCCAGCTTTCCACCCCTAGAGGTGCGCGTTCTCGCTCTGGATCAGGACTCTCGGCTGGGTCTTTCCGCTGCAGGTGTTTAGCACCTGGCCTGAATCGCTGCATCATCCCGGCGGCACTCGCCAGACTCCCGATTTTACAGCACAGGAGCGTGTCCCCGGGGTCTCAGCGCGAAAAGAGAACGTGGGTAGGAATTCACGGCCGTTTGAAAGGGTGGTTCTAGAAACCCTCGCTGTTCCTGTGCGAACCCCGGCTGGCCTAGAGATGCCCTGCGCGAGTGACCTCGGCGTCGACCCCGCCACTGGTCAGCTCACGGCCGGGGCGTGCCCGCTGGGGCCTGACGTGGCGGTGGGGCCGCGGGTGGGCGGCGAGAGGGAGAGAGGCAGCCGGGAGGGCGCGGCCTGACGTGGCGGCCGCCGCGGGGCAGCGAAGGGGAGTCCCGGCCACTGCACTGCTCCGTGCTCCGGCCAGAGGGCGCCCGGCCCCAACCCTTCCCCGCCCCGTGGCCGCCTGGGGCTCTAGGAGTAACCGCGCCGGCGATTGGGTCGGTGGCGCAGCGGGGCCATGTTGGAGCAGGAGGGCAACCCCGCCTTCCACCGCCCTCTGCTCTAGGTCAAGCCGGGCCGTGAAGGAAGGAGAACGGAAAGGGGGATCCTCCCTCCGGGGTAGCCCGACACTGCCGGTGTGGCGACTGGAGCTGCAGCGGTCATCACCGCCCCCCCGCTCGCCTGGCCAATCAGCGGCGCGGGTACAAATATGCAAATGATGCGCCGGTGCTGCTGGAGTGCCGCTCGCAGGGGCTGGTGGGGTCGCGCTGGGGGAGTGAACTGGGCCAATCAGGCGGGTGCGTGGCGGCGCGGGGGAGGCGGTGCCCCTGCACTCCTCCCTCCTCTCCAGGCCCCGCGCTGACAGGGGGGCCTGGCCGCGCCGCGGGTAAGTGCTGCCGCCGCCCGCCGCTGCCACCCGCCGCCTTAGGCGTGGGGAGGAAGCCCGGGGACACCGCGGGGCAGCGGCTGCGGCTCAACTGGTGGGGAGAGGAGAGGAGGGAGAGGGTTCTGTCAGCCAGGTGGTCGCTTGCGGCTGCCCCCGCCTGGCCAGCCGCGCGTGTCAGTCTTGGTCGAGGCAGGGGGCGGCGGGGGCGCCTCAGTCATGGCGAAGCGCGAGAGCCAGCGAGCGGCGGTGAGTACGTGCTTTCTCCGCCGCCGCTGCTTGGCCGGGGTGGGGGGGTCGGGGCAGGCAGGGCCGCGCCGCCGCTGTCTGAGGTGAGGGGCGAGCGCCCCGGGAGGGGCGGGCGCGCGGGGAGGGGGTGCTGCCCGCACGTGCGGCCCAGCTAGCCTGCGGCCCGCCCCGCGACTGTCATGGCTGCGGGCTGCTGCCCCCGCCCCCTAGCCCGCAGACCCTGGGGTCGGGACCCGGCCACCGTGCCTGTTGCGTTGATGGGAGGTGCGGGCAGGGCGTGGAGGAGGTGGACCCCCTTCCCTGCCCCGCGAGAGGTCGGGGCCTCCCTCCCGTGTGGGTTCCCTTCCGAGGGTCGGGCTTCCCTCCATCCTGCAACCTCTTCCCCCGCCTGCTGTCTCGCCTGCGTGACTCATGACAGGGCGTCCCGCGTGAGTGCCGGGAGCCCCGGAGCACGGGACGCCCCCGGCACTTTCCCAGGCCTCGCCTCTTGGTTCCTAGCACCCAGCCTTTCCTGTGTTCTTTCGCTCCGGGGGGCAACCCCGAGGGCCTCTCCACCTCTGAAGCTTGGCCAGGACCCCACGAGCCGGTTTGAGTTCTACCAGTGCTGCTCCTTCTCGATGTATGTCTGGGTGTGGGACGCGATGGGTGGTTCCAGGACTCTCTTCTCCGACATCCATCCCAAAGCCAAGAACGACTCAGACTGCCTGGGTGTCTAACTGGCTTGTTGCAGCCGCCAGCTCAGAGAGAGGTTTCTGTTTGTTCCTTTTTTGGTTTTGTTTTGCCTCAAAAGAAAAAAAAAAAAAAAAAGAAAGAAAGAAAAAAGAAAAGAAAAAAGAAAGAAAAATAAAACTTTTTGGAACAAAGTAGACAAGAATTAAAGTTGCGATATTAGTAGTGCTATACAATTTCTTTATGAAGCTTGGGATTTGACACTATTGTGACTTTTATCCATTTATGTGAAATACATCTTCCGATACCCTCCCCCCATTAAATAAAGTTTATGTTCATTAATAAAACCACTGTCACAGTTTAGTTCCTCAGTTTTGCATGCTGCTTTTCACCTTTTTCTTTCTTTTGATTTCACATTCTCCAGTTGTTAACCATGATTTGAACTCAGAAGATTTCCTCTTATTGATGTTACTTTCTACTTAAACTCTGTACATAACTATGCAGGAAGTTTTAAAGGAACAACTTGGTCTACAAACACTTGAATATACAGAAGGTGAACTTGAGAGTACTCAACAATGCAGGAGGAGGAGATTTTTAAGTTCTTTGTAGTGCAAAGTGATGAGCATAGTGTTTTTTCTGTTCTTGAATTTACAGAACTTGAATTTAGATGCACCTTTTTGCCTATAGCAGGCTACCTGGAAACTTACAGGTTTAAGTGAAGAACATTGTTTCTCAGGGCAAGTTAAACTTCTTATGTATCTTGAAGACTTTCTTCATTGAATTTGATAATATTAAATAGTTACAATGTACTACAAATATTAGCAAGTCTCAGTCCTTAGGGAGTTTCATATAAGTTACAGACCATATAATATGGACATGAAATGCACTGGGGGAAAAAAGTAGTTGTCTTTCAGGTTTGGTTAAGGGTAACTCTCCCCATGAAGAATTTCAGGGAGGTGATAATATAGTGTAAGAAAATCAAACCAAATCAAAAAACACAACTTGTGATTGATTGACTAGGGGGAGATGCTGTCCTAAGGACATAGGAAATTACCATTAGAAATAACAACAGTAGGGCTGGGGTTGTGGCTCAGTGGCAGAGATCTTGCCTCATACATGTGAGGCACTGGATTCAATCCTCAGCACCACATAAAAATAAACAAAATAAAGATATTGTGTCTATGTATAACTAAAATAAAAATTTAAAAAACCAGCAATATTGTGATTATGACCAGTAAAACCCTGTTCTTGACTTGGAGAGAATCAAGACTTACTTGTGTAGCTGTAGTCAGTATTCTTGACCTCTGCCAGCTTTAGATTTCTTCAGTATAAAATTTAGTTTCCAGCATTTGTACAGTTTTAAGGTTCTCAGTATTTTATGAGGTTTGTCCCCTGAAATACAAAAATTATATTTGGATTTCAAGTGTTAAGACCAATGTTTAAAAACAAGTAGTGGTAGAGTTGGCCTTTTGCAAAGCACATTTATTAAAGAAAAATCTCAAGGAGGGACAGGTATGAATAAAGATTAAAAAACTAAAAGCATCCTTAATGAAAAAAGCCTAGGACAAGATTAAGATTAATGAAACTGACCATGCTGCAAACCTGTAATCCCAGCTACTTTGGAGGTTGAGACAGCCTGGGCAATTTAGGAAGACCCTGTCTCGGAACAAAATATAAAAAGGGAAAAGGGCTAGGGATGTAGCTTAGTTGTAGACTGCTCTTTTTTTTTTTTAATTTAAAAAAATTTTTTAGTTGTAGATGGACATCATATCTTTATTTTTGTTTACTTATTTATTTATTTATTTTTTAGTGTGGTTCTGGGGATTGAACCCAGATCTTCATGCATTCAAGGCAAGTGCTCTGCCACTGAGCTACAACCCCAGCCTTCTAGAATGCTCTTGAGTATAATAGTATATAAATTATTTTTCAATTTGAATGTATTATGAGAAACTCTTAGCTTCAAACCACTTACRTAATGCAATTAATTTTGGTACATGAAAAGTTTAGATATTCTAAAGGGTTAAATGTGTTGTTAATGTAAACAGTAGAAGAAAAAGCTAACTAGAAATAAAAGAAAAATGAAATTCTAGAGGGCAGAGTAAAAAAAAAATGACAGATAATACACCTGGGGAAATTTTTATCAGATAATAATAATCAGTACAGTGAATAAAGAGCATAGGGAAGAATATCAAAACTTGAGGTTGTTGATCAATGTGAAAACTGTTGAAAGCATGTTATATAAGTGTTTGAAAAACTTTTCTTTTCTTCCTGTTGACTGGGGATTGGAACCTAGGACCTGAGCACATGCTAAGCAAGCAGTTTATTACTAAGCTATATACATCCAGCTCAGACACGCACTTGATATATTCAGCCCTTTGGTGCTAGGAATCAAACCTATAGCCTCAGACACGTTAGGCCAGTACTCTACCACTGAGCTGTATCACCAGTCCTTTTGAAAAACTTTAAAAACTGAAAACTGGAGTTATAAGAGATTTATGGACACTTTCTTAAAAGAGAATGATTTTATTTTTAACCTTTTAAATTCTTTGTAGTGTTAACAAGAGATAGACTTCTTACATAAATGTAAGATTTTGCTTTTTTATACTTTTAACTTTGTGAAGATAAGTTCTTACTTATGGGTACTATCATGTAGCACTTTATGCTTCTGTTTATTTCCTTATTGAAATTTCATTCCCTTTCCACCTCTTGTAACTTGCCAGATTGAATTCCACCTTGTGAATAAGATCATCTCTTGTTTTTGTCTTATTTTGTGTCGTTTTTTGGCACCAGGGATTGAACCCAGGGGCATTTAACCCTTGAGCAACATCTTCAGCCATTTTTTATTTTGAGACTGGGTCTTGCTGAGTTGCTGATGCTGAGACTGTTTTGAACTTGGAATTAATTCTCCTTCCTTGGGCTATCAAGCCACTGGCATTATTGGAGTTCATCACCATGCCTGGCCCTCATCTCTTGTTGTGGCCCTTAGGGATTTCTTCTTCCCATGAAATAATGTTTTTTGTCTCACTTCCTGACATCTCTCTTGTATTGCCTTTAAGTTTTCAGGAACATTTGTGCTCTTCTTTTTTAGATACAGTTGGAAAGCTAATCAAGTGACAGTGGGAGACAGAAAAGGAAGCCACTTTTCAGCTATAATTTATTCTCTAGTCTCTGGGTTGTTCACATCCATTTATTAAACAAATTTAAATGTTGTATTAATTTATTATATGTTATATTAAGTTTAGTGATCTTTACCTTCATGGGATGCACACTTTAATAGTAGAGATAGGTAAAGAATAAGTAAATAAATATAAAATGACAACTTATGATGAAGTCAATGAAAAGAATGGACTGCTATGAGATAAAGGGGTAGGATTTTAGATTTTGTGGTCAGTGAAGACCTCTTTCAGGTAGTGACATTTAAGTTGAGACATAATAAGAAATCAGACAAGTAAAGAGGGAAAAGAGTTTTATTGGAAAAGAAAAATTTGTTTGAATACTATGAGGCAAGAAAGAACTTATAGTTTAAAAATACCAGTGTGAGCCAGGCACAGTGGTGCATGCCAGTAATCCCAGTAGCTTGGGAGGCTGTGGCAGGAGAATTGCAAATTCTAAGCCAGCCTCAGCAAGAGGGAGGCACTAAGCAACTCAGTGAGACCCTGTCTCTCAATAAAATTCATAATAGGGCTGGGGATGTGCCTCAGTGATTGAGTGCTCCTGAGTTCAATCCCTGATAAACCTCCCCCCACCAAAAAAAAAAAAAAAAAAAAGTACGAATGTGAAAATGGATTCGATAAGGCCAGAGTGAAGCAAAAATATATAGTTGTTTTGACTAGACATAATGGTAGCTGAAATTAGGATGGCAGCTGCAGAAGTGAAAGAAAGCGTTATCTTCTTTTCATATATTTCCTTTATTTTTTCCTTTCATATACATATAACATACATATAAGAAATAGGTTGAGGTAGGATGAGCCATTAACAACTTGACGATGGCTCGATTGGATGTTAGAAGAAAGGTGTCAAATTATTTCAGTAATGGTTCCTGACTTAAGGAACTAGAGAGATGGTGACAATGATTGAGATGAAGA